TTCCTTCTCAGGAGCTCTTTGTATAGGTGACTTTTTAACTATTTTTAACTCTTTCTTAACTATTAGCTAGCTTTTTTTTTTTCTCCCCCAGATTTTGTAATCAAAAGGATGACTTAGGACCAAGCAACTATTAAAACCTAATCAAAAATGGTTTTTGGCGTGGTATAGGCTGAGTTCTTGGCAAATGAGCAGAGTTTGTGTTCCTGCAGTGCAGTTTCTTCCCTCAGTGTTGTTCCATGGGGCATGGGTGATGCCAGGTCGCGTGCCTAGGCTAGCAGGATGGGCCGAACACGCTGGAATATCCTCTGATAATCGTAGTCCTGCTTGATCTGATAGTCTCTCCTGTCCCAAAGCTCTGAGTTCTGAATGGAGCTTATCCCTTTAGCTACCGTGAAAGCCAGGCAGCAACTGAAGTTGTGCAGAAGGAGCAACGTGGCAGGTAGGGGCCCAAAGCAAAGGCCAGTGCTGAGTGCGAACAGGCTGCTGGATCTCAGCACAACCACATGGAAACCTGCAGAATCCCCAGCCCGGTGACCCCGTGCAACAAGTAGGTGGTTGAACACGTTCCAGGCACAACAACAATGTCTTGGTTCCTTTCCTCACAGAGAAAAACCACTCATCTTCCACCCCTAGAAGGATTTCTGCCTTCATGTGCCGCCCAAGCGCCTTGCAAGGGCTGAGGAAGTTTCAGTCTTAGCCCCTTGGGGCTGGTCTTCACATCCAGCACGAGGGCCTCGTCCTCGTGTTGGGGGCGAAAAGAAAAGCAGCTGTGACTTGAGTTAAGGTGCCTTTTATGTCAGCGTTTGGAGCGGTGGATATCGAGCGGTGGAGCCTCCTCCTTCTCTGGGCCTCACCTCTGCTGGCTGCTCCCTTCACATCAGCCTCGTGTTTCCATTACCTTTCTGTTTGTCTTCTGCTGAAATGCTAATTTTCAGGGCAAACCACTCCAGCGCGTCCAGGAAAGACGTGTGGCTTTGGGAGCGAGCGGCAGGCTGCCCGCCGAAGCCTGGGCCGGATCCCGGGGCTCCCGCGCTGCGGCCGGCGGCCGAGCTGCGCTCCGGGTTGCTCTCGGGAACCAGGAGCCCTGGAAAAGGCCTCGGAATTGGAAGCTTGGGAGGCAAATTGGAACGCGGGAGGAGGGGACCGTGCCCTGGGGGCCTGCTCAGAGGTTGCCGTGACGGCCTCCTTTGCGGCCGGCCTCAGGGAGGCCCTGGTGCTGCAGTGGGTGTCACGTCCTGGTATTCCAAGGCGCTGGATTCTGCTCTGGAGTCTGTGCTCCGGGGGGAAACCCTCAGCTGCATCCAGGTAGAAGGGGCAGGTTAATAAAATTGGACTTATTCGAAGAATAAAGGCAAAACGCGGCCCCGTTCTTGCGGGTGGGCTCCAGAGCAGCAGGGCCACCACAGCCAGGCTCTTGGCTGCAGAAACATGAAGGAGAAGCTGAGGTGGGCTCTCAGCTGGGGTTTAAGCCCATTTAAGCGGCAGATTCCAACCCGCCTTGGAATTATTTGGGACATGTTGGAAACCTGCAGCTAACTTAGCTTCCCACCTTGCCTGCGTTTCCTGTCCCCCTTGTTCAGCCGAGGTTATTCTCCCTGCTTTCCACCTGAAGCCAAACCCTTCCATCTGCATCATAATTCCACCTCTTGATGTCATGTGGGGGTGGAGATGAAGATGTAAGGCAGTGACTAAGCGCTGGGGGCCTCTATGCGGTGCAGTCAGATACGTCTGGCCTTTATTTATTTTATTTTTTTCCAATCGGAACTGTTAAGGAATTGCAAAATTAAACCTCTACCTTCAACTGGTAATAAAAGAGTGGAGAAAATCCTGGCGAGGTGGTTTCGTTGGCTGAGACCTGGGCAGCTCGTGATGGTTCCAAGTGCATTTCAGGGCATTCCCCTTGAATGAGGGGCTCCTTCCAGCCAGGGCTGTTCCCTGGGATAGGCAGCTGAAAGGAGAGTGTCCCAGAGGTTCTCGGGGTGCCTGTTTTCAAGGAACAGCCCCTGGATTTCTGCAGGGTGCTGGTGGCACCCAGCTGAGCTGCGTTTTGCAGCCTAGGTTGAGCTTAGGAGGGAGATGTTCACGGCCTTAGAGGTCCTCCTAGCAAAGCCGCTTATTGCAGCCTCTTGCTGCATCCGGCAGGGACGTTTAAATACAGCAAAAGCTTGGCTAAAAGCAGAAAACCCTGAGGGTCCCTCCGTGCAGAGGGAGCCCAACCTGAGGCGTCTCGAGCGCGTTAGTCCGTGGGACCGAGGAGCCTCCAACGGCCCCGCGTTGCAGCACCCCCTCTCCTGCCGCCCCCGCTCCTTCCTGTGAGAAACCGGGCGGCCGAGTCCCGCCGAAGCGTGCGGCCGATGGAGCCTGTTGCCATGGAGCCGCCGTTCCCATTCGTGCCGCCGGAGCCCAATGAGGAAGGCGGCGGCGGGAGCGTCCGGCTCGCGGGGGCCCTGGCGCGGGGACACGCCATGGCGGCGCGGAGGCCGGGCGGAAGGAGGCCCCGCGTCGCCCTTTGCCTCCCCTCTGCCTCGACTGGGGGGTCGTCCTGGGTCCCATTGCAGCGACGTTTCCGTGTGCTGGGCCGGCCCTTGCTGCCCGTGTTCGGAACCAGTTTGAGCCCTCAGTGCTCTATACTGGGCCCAGTTCGGTTTGGGCCTCCTCAGGGGCTTATTCCTGAGCCCTCCGAGTGCTTTGAGTCTTTGTGGGGCTGGATGCTCTTCCAAGCACCCACTTCTGTGTCCCGTAACCAGCCTGAGGCTGGAGGAGCCTCCTCCCTGGCCCGTGGCCGGGCCCGGGGGTCTGCTCGGCCCGTGGAAGCGCCGCGTCCCGCTGGAGCGGGGCCGCGTTGCCGGGTGGCCGCGATGGCCGCCGGGTGAAGCTCGGCTCTGCGTAGCCTGTCACACAGCACGAAGCTGTCCCGGGGCTCCTGGGCTGGGCTCTCGGAGAGCAAAATTAGGGAATGCTGCCCCAGTCCCCTTGGCTTGGTCGTTAGGTCACCCAGGGATGGCACAGGAGGCTCCTGTCTGTCCGGATCTGCTGCAGGATCCGTCTGTGTATGATATGATAGGTGTGATATGTAATATTGCAATGATATCTAACTGGATCCCAGCCACCCCTTCCTGCCCCTGGGCAAAGGGTCCTGAACTGCCCCGTTTGCTCTCCCGGCCTCCAAACCCCGCTCCAAACAGGGCCTCAACTGCCCCGTTTGCTCTGCCAGCCTCCAAACCC